AATTTGGAAAAAAAATTCAGGGATAAGGTCTAGAACAAATGGAATATTGAGAAGTCCAGAACATATGGAAATATTATTCATGGTGTAGGGTTTTGTTGGTTACATAGAACGGATCATCGACTATTGTTCGGAGGAGTTTCGACTGAGAGGATTGGATGCGTTTGATGTTAGAAAATTTAGCTGTCCCCCAAAGTTCAGGTCCGTAGGTCCATAGCACAAGTTTCAGGATTCTCTTGTAGATAAGTTTTTTTTTTCAACAGAAAGTTAAGAATTTCTAGTCAGCAGTCTGTATAATTGGCCGTATCGTCTGTTAAGTTCTTGTCTTTCAATGCTAGTATGTTGGTTCCACGTTAGTCTTCGATCAAAGAGAAATCCAAGATACCAGACTTTCATACGACTTTTCGTTTTTGTGCTATACTGATAACATACATACACACTCACAGACACACACACACACACACACCATTTTGCGGGACTTTTGTTTGGATTCAGGAGACCTCAAAACATGTATTTCTGTTGAAAAATCAGACTCGAAAATTTTTAAGATCGCAATACCTACCCTTACTATACATTGCATATATAGGTATGGAGGGAAAGTAAAAATAAGTTAAAATTGATTGATGAGTGACGGAGTGGAAATGACTCTGCTTACCATTACAAATTACTGTAATCCTTCGTGCGGTGGTGTCGAAATCAAATTGTGGTGTCTCTAAACAGAAAAAAAATTAAAACAAGGCGGTCATCCAGAAGTTGAGTAATCTCTTTATACGTGGTATTTTTAGCAGAGACCACAACGGTGTCCGGTTTCGGGTGATATATTAGCTGAAAAGTGAAAGTTTTTCTTTAATAATTTTTTTTTTAAGGACGACAATGTAGACTTTTATGCCAGTAAAGGTTGTCTGCATAATTTGAAAAGCTTTTTTTTTTTATTTGTTTACATAGCCTCTACCCCTAAGGGTCATTGGCTTAATGTTTCCATTTTATATTCGTTGATAAAAGTGAATATCCTTTAAACATTTGAACAGTTTTCCTATTTCATTTTCCTCATCTTGGAGAATTTCTTTCATTTCCGTTCCCTTTTGTGATTTTTTCCTTATATTAGTGTACCTTCTACATTCTAATAATATATGCTTTACTGTTCTGGGTACTAGGCAATGTGTGCAAGTTTGGGCTTCTAATCCTGGCAGGAGGTATCCATGGGAAAACTCACATTGCGCGATTCTTAGGCGATATATTATCACTTCTTCTCTTCTAGACTTTCGGTTTGATGTGTTCCATTTTATATATTTTTTTTTATTTCTTGAAGTTTTGCCGAACTCATTTCCCATTCATTGTTCAATTTATATTGAAAGGAGAAGGCAAGTTGGTGTGTCCAATCTTCTCGTGGAATAGCATCAATTATTGTGGTTTGTAAATGCATTTTTTATATTAATTTTTATTTCACTATAAAAGTTCTGTATTTCCAATTTTATTTTCCATTAGATAATTCATAGAAACGCAATAAAGGCATTTAATGCTTGCTTGGAGAAGAGGAAACCTCTGTGAAGTTGGCCCTCCATCCTCAACTTTTTAAAAAAATTTTGAGAGTTCTTATAGCCCCCCCAAGAGTTCTAGAGTTCCCTATACTTTTTAGAAATAGTTCTATTGTTTAAACCACCGAAAATACCATCCAAAGTTGCAAAAAACGGAAATCCCGTTTTGTGCAACTTACGAGTCTTATAACACCTTTAATATTAATTTTAGAGCTAAACTTCAAAGGGATAATTATAACAATTCCTTGGGGGGCTATCAGAACTCTAAAAAAAAATTTAAATATAGGCCCCCCCTAAAAGGCGCTCCCCCCCCCAAAATGAAAAATTCTAAATTATTTTATGGGTTTTAATAGCCCCCCAAACAGTTACAGAGTTCTCTGGTATTTAAAAAAAAATTTATATCGTTTAAACAACCGAAAATACCACGCAAAGTTACGAAAAAACGGAAATCCCGTTTTGTGCAACTTACGAGTCTTATAACACCTTTAATATTAATTTTAGAGCTAAACTTCAAAGGAATAATTATAACAATTCCATGGGGGGCTATCAGAACTCTAAAAAAAAATTTAAATATAGGCCCCCCTAAAAAGCGCCCCCCCAAAATGAAAATTTCTAAATTATTTTGTTGGTTTTAATAGCCCCACAAATAGTTACAGAGTTCTCTGGTATTTAAAAAAAATTTATATTGTTTAAACAACCGAAAATACCACGCAAAGTTACGAAAAAATGAAATCCCGTTTTGTGGAACTTACGAGACTTATAACTCTTTAATTATTAATTTTAGAACTAAAGTTCATCGTGATAACTATTATAACTCTTAGGGAGGCCAAAGGAAAACTCACCAGAACTCCTGAAATCCAAAAACAAATTTCGACCAAAATTTTTATCTTACTCTTACTAAGTCCAAGGGGTGAAAATTTATCTCGGAAAAAAATTATTCTGATTGGTGTTCTAATAGCTCCTTGACGAGTACAACCGATAATTACTGGTGTGTTTTAGTCTAGGATGCGAAACGAAAAAGTTTTGGAGCATCGAAATATCGAAAAAAAATTTTTGAAAATTGCGAGGCTTATATCTATTGTTTGGTCAACTTTAGGACAAAGGTTCATTATATTAATTTTTATAACTCTTAGGAGGGCCATAGGAAAACTCATCAGAACTCCTGAAATCCAAAAGCAAATTTCGACCAAAATTTTTATCTTACTCTTACTAAGTCCAAGGGGTGAAAATTTATCTCGGAAAAAAATTATTCTGGTTGGTGTTCTAATAGCTCCTTGACGAGCACCACCGATAATTACTGTTGTGTTTTAGTCTAGGATGCGAAACGAAAAAGTTTTGGAGCATCGAAATATCGAAAAAAAAATTTTTAAAATTGCGAGGCTTATATCTATTGTTTGGTCAACTTTAGGACAAAGGTTCATTATATTAATTTTTATAACTCTTAGGAGGGCCATAGGAAAACTCATCAGAACTCCTGAAATCCAAAAGCAAATTTCGACCAAAATTTTTATCTTACTCTTACTAAGTCCAAGGGGTGAAAATTTATCTCGGAAAAAAATTATTCTGGTTGGTGTTCTAATAGCTCCTTGACGAGCACCACCGATAATTACTGCTGTGTTTTAGTCTAGGATGCGAAACGAAAAAGTTTTGGAGCATCGAAATATCGAAAATATTTTTTTTTAAATTGCGAGGCTTATATCTTTTGTTTGGTCAACTTTAGGGCAAAGGTTCAATATATTAATTTTTATAACTCTTAGGGGGGCCATAGGAAAACTCATCAGAACTCCTGAAATCCAAAAACAAATTTCGACCAAAATTTTTATCTTACTCTTCTGAGTTCTGATGAGTTTTCCTATGGCCCCCCTAAGAGTTATAAAAATTAATATAATGAACCTTTGTCCTAAAGTTGACCAAACAATAGATATAAGCCTCGCAATTTTCAAAATTTTTTTTTCGATATTTCGATGCTCCAAAACTTTTTCGTTTCGCATCCTAGATTAAAACATACCAGTAATTATCGGTTGGATTTGGTTTTGGATTTCTGGAGTTCTGATGAGTTTTCCTATGGCCTCCCCAAGAGTTATAATATTTATCACGATGAACTTTAGTTCTAAAATTAATAATTAAAGAGTTATAAGTCTCGTAAGTTCCACAAAACGGGATTTCATTTTTTCGTAACTTTGCGTGGTATTTTCGGTTGTTTAAACAATATAAATTTTTTTTTAAATACCAGAGAACTCTGTAACTATTTGTGGGGCTATTAAAACCAACAAAATAATTTAGAAATTTTCATTTTGGGGGGGCCGCTTTTTAGGGGGGGCCTATATTTAAAAATTTTTTTAGAGTTCTGATAGCCCCCCATGGAATTGTTATAATTATCCCTTTGATGTTTAGCTCTAAAATTAATATTAAAAGTGTTATAAGACTCGTAAGTTCCACAAAACGGGATTTCCGTTTTTTCGTAATTTTGCGTGGTATTTTCGGTTGTTTAAACAATATATATTTTTTTTTAAATACCAGAGAACTCTGTAACTATTTGGGGGGCTATTAAAACCCATAAAATAATTTAGAATTTTTCATTTTGGGGGGGGCGCTTTTTAGGGGGGGCCTATATTTAAATTTTTTTTTAGAGTTCTGATAGCCCCCCAAGGAATTGTTATAATTATCCCTTTGAAGTTTAGCTCTAAAATTAATATTAAAAGTGTTATAAGACTCGTAAGTTGCACAAAACGGGATTTCCGTTTTTTCGTAACTTTGCGTGGTATTTTCGGTTGTTTAAACAATATAAATTTTTTTTTAAATACCAGAGAACTCTGTAACTGTTTGGGGGGCTATTAAAACCCATAAAATAATTTAGAATTTTTCATTTTGGGGGGGGCGCCTTTTAGGGGGGGCCTATATTTAAATTTTTTTTTAGAGTTCTGATAGCCCCCCAAGGAATTGTTATAATTATCCCTTTGAAGTTTAGCTCTAAAATTAATATTAAAGGTGTTATAAGACTCGTAAGTTGCACAAAACGGGATTTCCGTTTTTTGCAACTTTGGATGGTATTTTCGGTGGTTTAAACAATAGAACTATTTCTAAAAAGTATAGGGAACTCTAGAACTCTTGGGGGGGGCTATAAGAACTCTCAAAATTTTTTTAAAAAGTTGAGGATGGGGGGCCAACTTCACAGAGGTGAAGAGGAATAGTAGTACAAAGGAAGCCAGCAAAATCTGAGACTCAACGTACAATAAATGATCATTTTCAGAAATAACTTGTTTGTTTGCAAAGTGTTGATATTTAACTGATAAAACATATATTTTAATTGCTTGCAATTTTTCCATCATTTTTAAATTTAACCTTTGATTATCCGAACATTTTAATTATCCTAACAGACTATGTTATCTTGGTGTTCCGGAAAGTTATTTAAATATAAATATTCTGAAATCGAATTTACAAAATTGTAGCTTGTTTTCTATTTTTCAGCTCCAAGTGTTTGATGCTAACAAAGATGGGAGATTGCAGTTGTCCGAGATGGCAAAGTAAGTACCACAAATATAGTTAGTGAACATAGCTTCGTACTTCCTATTTAGAGAATATCAAAAACCTATGCTTTAATAACATCTTTGGACTTTCCTCCCATTATTTTTATTTTGTCGATTTATTTTTTAGATTGCTTCCGGTCAAAGAAAATTTCCTCACAAGACAGATTTTCAAGGTATGTCCAGACAATTCACGAAGTAAGCGAGGAATTATTAACAATCAGAACGTATTAAGACATATTTTTGAGGGGGGGGGTGAGGGTGGTGGTTATGAGTACAATGTTGACAGTTAAATTCTTTTTAATAGCAATCGTAATGGAACTTTATTAATGAATATTATTATTAATCACTTTTTTTTTTTACTGCGAATATTGGGTCTGTTAACCGTTTGAATTTTAATTGTTATAGGTCATAATTTTAAATTGGAATCAACTTATTTTAAGTATTAACAAAAAATGGATTAATTATGTACAATGAAGAGTCGATTTATATATTTTATTAGGGTATACGCACCAGTAACTGACATGCTTTAGAAAAAGTTCTTCGAACTTTTAGGTATATAAAAACTTAAATATTGATGTTATAGTATTTTTCTTGGATTCAACTAATAGAACTTCTTCTCAACTTACTAAGATATATATAAAATCTATGAAACATCCACCTGAATTGAAAAAAACAATTGTAAATTTAGAGAATACTTTAGTTGCACATGTAGCTGACACAGTTTGATTTAGAATTTTCCTATAGGAGGCAGGGATGAGAACGAGGATCTAATTGTGTGAAATAAAGCGTAAACGTGTTATATTATTCATTTTAAAATGGATATTAACAAAAATTATCTTTAACTTATTATAAAACAAATTCTTGCATGGCCCAATTTGATTTATTGGTAAATGCTTAACACTGTTAATAACCTGTTTTTGGCAAGAAGAAAACCTGTCTTTGCTTTGTATTTAATCCACATCACTTGCGATTTTTTTTTTAACGAGTAAGTAGTGGAGTACTCTCTGTTTTATTATATACCTTTGAATTTATGCGAAAATAAGTCTGTCAGCTATAAAGGTAAATGCCCCAATATAAGGCTCTAGTAGCTGACACCTATTAAATATCCGATTTCTTAAAAAAAATAAGTTAAAACAAAGTAAAAACTCTCCAAGAAACAAATAAACAAATATTTTGGGTTAAATCGAAGTATTGGGTTGGCAAATAAGTCCTTTCGGTTTTGTCAGGGTGAAATAAAACTCAATGTACTATAGACATGAAATGTATTTTAATCTACAACATATTAACCATTATTTAATACGACATGTTCCCATCTTTTCACTAACTGCATAATGCCATGCTCATAGAATGTCTGGAGTTTATTGTTAAAAAACTGATCCAAGTGGTTTTTGATGTCCTCTTCCTTTTGGAATTTCTTTCCATTCATGGAGTTCTGCAGAGACCAGATAAAGTGGTAGTCACTTGGAGCTAGGTCTGGTGAATAGGGAGGGTGGGGCAAAAGGTCCGATCCAAGGCTCAATAATTAAAATGGGTGACCAATGAGGTGTGGGGCCTAGCATTGTCTTGGTGGAACACAATACCTTTCCGATCATTCGTAACTCTTCAGGATGTTCTCCAAATTCGATGTTACTACATCCGTTGGAAAGCTCAATTATTGATCTTCAAAGCCGTATGAATGTTTTTTTTTATTTAATGCCTATATAAGGAATAAATAAACAAAAACTCCTTAGAGGTTTTTATTTTTTATCTCTATTTTTAGTTTGTTTACGAAGGTTCTGTTGATGTCATTTCGTGTAGTTTATGGGGCCCTAAATTCCTGCTAAATTTCTTGTAGATAGCCAAAGTCGTATTGAAGTTGTGATATATAATATAAGGCATTGATATAGGGGGCTATATGTAACCTACCTTTTTAATGAGTGTTTAATAATTAACACATGTTGTATTTTGCTATGCATGTGAATATAAAAAGACAAATATAGTAAAACTCTAATATTTGTTCTAAACATTATATCGGAGCAGTCGGTAGGACTAAGATAAAATGAGTCAAACGCATTTTTGAAATTTGTCCAATTTCAGTCCAAATTTAGATGAATGGAACGTATACAGTAGAAGACTAAAGCAATTTTTTTCCGCTAATGAGATTCAATCAGAAGAAAACAAAAGGTCGATTCACCTCACTAACATGCATCAAGATGCTTACAACCTTCTGGATTTCATGGGACCCATTGATAAAAAAATATATTTAACTGTTACTGATGCACATAGTAAGTGGATCGAAGCCGTCCCGATGGAAGCAACTACCATCCGCAAAACTCTAGTGGCTTCAGTGGAATAGTCTCCCAAAACAATTACTTTCAGATAATGATCCACAATTTATTAATTGTCAGAAATATAGCAAATTCTATTCCATGAATGGTATCGAGTGCCTATCATGTGATCCATACCACCCTTCAACCAATGGTCAATCTGAGAACAGTGTGGCAATTATAAAGAAATCTTTGGTCGAAGCACAAATAGCAGGAGAACTTCCAGATACAGCTTTAGCTAAGTTTCTGCAAACCTATCGTAATTCGGTGCATTTATTAACAGGTGAAACTCCTGCCAAGTTAATGTTTGAGTGACCTCTTAAACCTAGGTTAAATTTAATGAATGACCGGACTTTTGGCCAAAAAGTGAAAACTACTCAAGAGCTCAAGGAAAAGATAGCAAAGGCTTACAGTCGTCAAATAAAAAACTCAGGAAAAACAAAGATTTCTTTTCAAGTGGGACAGAAAGTTTATGCAAAAGTTGCTGAGGTAATAAAAAGAACTGGGTGAAAGGTTTTGTTGAAGAGGTTTTGGGGGTAAACATGTATTGGGTGCGATTGTTAAAATCAGGTTGTGTGGTCCGGAAGAACCCTGGACAAGAGTACCCGTGGATCAATTGATAGAAGAACGTGATAAAGGTTATATAATCACGATTCAGGACGCTATAGAAAGCCCTCTGGTATTACAAGTTGATGAAGGTAAAAACTTACTTAAGAACAAAGTAAAAGAAGGGAAGGGAGAAGATGAGGATAAAATAGCTAAAGAAAACGAAGAAGAACAGGAAGAAGGTAAAACAAAATAAGAAAAAGGAAAGAAGACAGTAAATTAGTCACAAACAGGAGTAGATCGGACAAACGTGCAAGCAAATAGACTTACTTACGATACTTTTTAAGGGAGAATAGTGTGATATATTATATAAGGCATTGGTATAGGAGACTGTATCATATAACCTACCATTTTAATGAGAATTCAATAATTAACACATGTTGTATTTTGCTATGCATGTGAATATAAAAAGAAAAATTTAGTAAAACTCTAATATTTATTCTAAACATTATAGAAGTTATAACAATTCTTGTGATTTTTGAGAAAAAAAAAAACATGTGGATCATCAAGGACAAAAACATTAAGCGTGGAAACATAGCCGAACTTGTGAAAATGGTTTTCTACGCTTGTGTGCGACACATTTAAGGCCATAGCAATCTCTCACAATGGCCTTAAAATTGCTCGTTTCAATTCCATGTGGGCGATTATATCGGTAAGCATCACGGGCGGATCTACGGGAGGCGCGGGGACTTTGGAGGCTGAAGCCCCCCAAAAAGGTAAAATATAACCATGTTATCGTTATTTTTATGAAAAAAAAAGCTTTAGTGCTGAAGCCCCCCCCCCAAATTAAATCCTGGATCCGCTAGTGTTGTGCATCATTGATGGCAAAACCAATTTTTCAGGTGTGTTCGGTTAAGGCATCATACCCCTAAACACTGCAATTTTTTTTATGAGCTCCTGCAGCACGCTTACCTTTTTTTAAAATAATACAACAAAATATGCCGATGATGAATGATATTTTCTTCCATATTCACAGTGCAATAGCAAACATAATGCTAAGCTAGTTTCAACAAGAGTTAACAGATATAGTTGTTGACATATTACAAACATGATAAACAATCCACCTTAGGGATTAATTCATCAGATAAGAAGTGTGTCATAGTGCCATGAAAATAATCAGAAAAACCTAAAGGACTTATTTGCCAACCCAATTGTTAAAAATAAAAGGTTAAACCTGAAGTGGGTGTCCTTACTTATGGCTGTTCCTGGGACACTAACTGTACGGTGAGGGACCTTCCTGATTTGACACTCATTATTTTGGTTACAGTTTCCGGTAGGACTAAAGCAAAGTAGGCAAATATACAAGCAGAAAATATAGAAGCCACAGATTCTTGAAATAGAGGACTAGTAAGTCCTGAAATCTTATTCCCATATTTCGAAGATGGTGTCACGCATTGTCTACACTGTCAGCTACCGGTGCTTTTACCCTATGTATCTCATTTTTTTTTCGTATAGTTTATATTTGATGAATACTGACTGGTTTTGAGGTACTTTGGAATAATTTTGTTATCTAATTATTTGATCGAATCGATTGAAGTAAATGGTTCTTAAAATATTTTGAATTTCTATCACCACTGACCGAAGAAAATAGAATTCCCTAATTGATGAGGTATTTAAACCATTTTTTAACTTTCCGCGTTGACATACGCAGGGGTGCCCAGAAAAGAGTTTGATGGTGCAAGTTGAGCCATTAAAATTTATGAGAGGGGCACTTTTTGAGGGTTTTCAATATTTGAGAGGGGGGAAGGCACTTTTCGACGGGGTTATAAATTTTCAAAATGAAAAGTTTCAAATTAAATGACAAGTGGGAGCGTGGGAGAGACCGCAGTATTTATAATTGCATATAATACACGAATATTTAAATACAACTTTCGTTTGCACTGTTTTTAAGAAAAAGAGAGGAATAAAATATCGTCCTTGGGGGGGATGGGCACCCCTAGACATACGTGTGCATAGAAACCAACTACTGCTGTATACAAAACTTTAAATGACATCCCACTAGTATAATTATGTTTCACTTGTGTCGAATGCTATAGGTACTGAGAGTGATTTGGAGTAAATAGTGTGTTTATAGTTCGTAGTGTAATGTTTTTCTATGAATGCCATCTTTTCTTATAATAATGTCTGTTTGTCTTCTTCTTTTGAATGATTTCGTTTTTCAATCTCCTTAAATGTCATTTCGAAATACTTATTGAATCATTTCCTTTCTTATACAACAATATTGTGTATATATAAATTATTACAGTTATATAACACAAGATAAATTCATAGTATTTCTTATTTTAATTTTTTTCGAAATGACTATTTCTTCATTATTACTCACTTTACTTTTCGCTTTTGGTTCCAGATCCGTCAGAACTATTGTTATCATTTAAACGAAGTTCGAGGATCTAGAGCCAAACATAATATCTTTATATGTTTTTTTGTTTCTTTTTTTATTAAAAAAAAAATATTTAATTTTTTTCCTGAAAATATTTTTTCTTGCACTTCTTAATAGAATCATTTCTGTCTTTTGCACCAAATATTTTAATCTGTCTTTTTCATCTTCGTCTATATTAGGATATAACAACAGAAGTAAGTACTCATTAAAAAGAATGATCTTTTTATTTTTAGAAATCCTTCCTATTTATTTTGGTGTGTTTGTGTGTGTGTAATTTGGAGCATTTTTTTTTTTTGTTTTTTTTTTAGAAAACGCTCTCTTTATTTGCTTTTTCCACTTAGTGTATCTGATTCCTAAGCATGCCTTTATACTTTCATTGTATCTCACATTTCTTGACATTCTTGCTTTTTTTTTTATTTTATTCATTTATTATCATTATTAACTTGATGACCCATTGACTCCAAAGAACGAGTCAAATTTGTACATAGAATTAATTGCAATATCCGTCTATGTTGACATGCTTGATTTTGTAACATATTTAAGAATAATATCGTAAAAAAACTTTTAAGTACACAAAGCACATTGCTCACGCTTTATTTACATTCATTGTTCTGGTTCAATTTGACCATTTTCGTTAAAAGTGTGAAAAATTTGTACTTAATTGAAACCAGTTGACAAGATTTCATGAAAATATAATTATTGATCACTACACCAACAAATTAATGGAATCATACTTCAGAAATGCCAAAGTTATATTTTATTTATAGATAAGCATTATCGGTGTAATCGACCATCTTATAATTTTAATATACAATTATCTTATCGATTGAGGATCCATATCAACATTACATTGTAATAAGATATTTTTTTCTTACTCAGGGTGCCACAAAACTAACAAAAGAAGACATTGAGAAAGTTTTTGCTCTATACGACAGGGTAAGTTCTTAACTGCTTGTTTCTTATCTAGTTTATTGACTAGCGATTAATTGAAATTATATAATTGTGTAATTATCAATATATATTTAAATGTAATAAATAATAATTTATATGATTTGATAATTATATAATATCAATACTGGGAGGGAGGGGAGAAAGAGGAGGGGGAGAGAGTGGGGGAGGGTGTAATAGTTTTTCTTTTTTTTTTGCCTTACTTTTTTTTCTTATGCCATAGTCATTGGTCCGTCATTCGACCATCCGACATCTTTGATTTTTTTATATAATCATTCACATATGTTTTATTTCTTATGTCCGTCAAAGCAGGACATTTGTCTTGGTGGTCTGCATCCATTTTCGCTTTTTAACATAATTTACACCTAGGACCTCAGCCACGCCCATCTTGTCGAGATGAATTTGTAGATAGTCGTAATCAGTGGCCAGGAAATAGAGAAATATATGTTTATAACCTTAAATTACTTTAGACTTGGTCATGAATTTAAATTACCTATTTACTGTCTTCTTATTCCAAAAAAATCATTAATCAACATTTTAAAAAACGAAATTAGTAAATAATTTGATAAACTTTTTTCTTTGTAATTTTGTGAAATTACAAAATTGTTTAATTAGTATAACTAATTTTGACAGTAGCCTGTGAAAAACTTTTTAACTCTAATTGAGTAAATTTTACCAGCGAAAATATATGAATTTAAAATCTTGCCCCAAATGATACAGATTTAGTTTCTATAACTTTTACCAAATAGTAAAATCCTTAGTTATTTGTAGATTAGATATATCTCCGTACTTTCAAACTTAAAATCACTGAAACTCACAAATGTGTTCTTTTAGATTAAGCTCCATTAAAAATGTACTTCAAAGACTTATTTCAAAAGCTGAATTTTAGGAGAAAATAATTTCTGCAGGCTAAATAATGCAGATATATAATAATAATAAATAATACAGGCTAAAAATAATGCAGGCCACTGCATCTCTTCTTGGTAGGTCAGCTGGGATCGGGTTTTCCACCAAACATCCATAACGTCTTCCTTCCACCTTGTCTTGTGTATATTTTTTGTTTCCTGCTTCACTACCATCCTCACCATTCGTCGGATTGAATCGTAAGATTTTGGATGGGCTGTTTTAGGCTATTCTGCTCCTCTCCTGGCGAGACTACTGCTTCCTCATTTCTTGGAATACCGCATTGGTGTCTCGGAGTGTTAGACCGTAGAGGAGGGATTTGCACTTCAAGATAGCCCTTGACAGACATTTATTCAGGTCAATAATAGCGAGGGTTGCTGCTTGAGAGTCGACAAAGAGAACAGCGCTCTGAATTTTCCTTCATGGTAGTGTTCTTTGGGCTATGAGGATCGCTGCTATCTCACCGTCAGAATTCGTTTGCCTTACTGAAAACTCAATAACAGTGTTGAATAATTACATAATAATATTGAGTTCAATATATTTTGTAACTGTAATGTTCCCTAGCCTGTCCATTATTTCATTTTTTTAATAATGTAAATGAAGTTTATAATTTATATTTCTGAGTAAACACATTTTACATCACATGTACATTTTTAATGTATAGTTAAATAATTTTCAATTCTATGTAATAATATTGTTATATTTCTATATGTTAAATTTATTCTTGTTATTGTCAAAAATATATAACAAGATGTCAAAAGTGTAACCAATCACTAACTATAAAACATATTTTGGAAGAATGCCCTTTTTACACCGCAACATTAAAAGATCTCGGAATACCCCAGAATATATCAGCATCGCTGGGAAATCAAGAAGAAATCGTTACCAAAGTCATCAAGTTCCTGGATAGTGAAAGACTTAAAAAACACATATGACAGGCTTATAATTAATGATCCTTTGCAGATTTATTATTATTTTTTATTTATTAATTTTTTTATCTATTTATTTTTATTCTATTTTCTCTTATTATTATTTTTTATTTATTTTTTTTCATTTCATTTCATTTCATTTTAAATTCATTTGTTTAATAATTTCAATTCATTTATTGATTTTACTGCTATTTTTTAAAGTTTATTTATTTATACATTTTATTACCTATAAATGTCTATTATTATCCTTATTTATTTATTTTATTTTATCAATCCATTTCTTTATTTTTTTTATTTATTTCTTTTTATTATTATTTTTTTTTTGTACCAACCATCCAAATAGTATTAAGTGATGTTATTTATTTGATCGGGCGCTTATGACCTGGATGTTTTGCGCCTAGACATCGAAACAAACAAACAAATAATATAACAAGGAAAAAGCTAAGAAAAAAAAATAAACAAATTGGTGTCCGCCGTTCGACTAATTACATGTAAATGTATCCCCATAAAGAACATTGGGAATTTTTGCAATAGACCTGCGTTAGTCGTCTGGCCATGGGGGTATTCAGATAACCAGTGACAGATCTTGTCCTTCGCAGGGACATTCTAAAGATGTATTTATTGATACATTCACTGAATCAATCCATGAAATCTACCTATATCAAGGACTCAAACAACGTATTAAGGAGTCTTGTCGCAAGATTTGGTGCCATCACTACAACAGCAATAATGGTAGATAATTCATCTCGCAGCATTCAAGGCTCAAATCTTCGAATGAACTTATTGTGAGATATGTCTTAGTAATAGGGTAAGCATCAAGGAGGATGATTTATAAGCCATGAAACCATATCGGAAAAAAGTCCTACTGCTCTTATGTTTAGAAGTAATATTCAAACATGATTCAACTTAATTCAGAAGACGGCCAAGAGGGAATTCAAGATTAGAGACAAGATACGAATACGGAACTTAAATCGATAAGGAAGTTGGAAATTGGGAACTGGAGTTGGAAAGGAGGAAAATCTCATGCAGAGATAAATGGTTAAAGAGAAAAATGAACGATGTCATATGGATCAGATTTCCCCAACACCCATGACAGTCGAATTAAAAGATTCTGAAGGTCGAAGCTGTTAGCGGAGGAAAGTAGGACGATATGTCTTGTTATACCTTGTCTAACATCTACTTTTGACGATATCCCGCACAGTGGACTGTTTGAGCTATCTAACAGGACAAAATTCGTTACAAAGGAATTAAATATTTTTTTTTTAAATTATATCTAATTAATTAGAAAAAGGATATTTAATATCCGGAATGTTTTTATACCCCATTAAAAGATCAATTTCATAATTGATTCAACATATAGTACTCAGGAAGCCAACAAAAACAAATTAGGAAAATGCCAAAATAAAGTTTGATAAATTTTATTTGTTTAGATGCATAAATTATTAATTATTTATTCTTAATTATTAATTATTTATCTAAGTAATAAATGACTAAATTAGTTTAAAAGAAACATTTTAAAAAGTATTATATTGGATAATCTTCTAAATAAGTCCAATAGCCCTCTGGAGCCAGGTACCAAAAATCGACCTGATCGCAGGCGAAGTTTTGATTGTAAATAACGAAAGTGTATGTTATTCTGAGTAAAAAGAACCTTATCTGCCGTTCCAGATCCGCTGCTTCAAAAAATTGCGGCTGATTTGAAGAATATTAGGCTAGTAATTTGAGGATCGAATTGGAAAACTCATTGTGAAAAATGTGAAATTTAAACATTGAATATTCTTATTAAAAAACATGAGTGGCCTCATATCAAAAATTTACATCAGAAAGTGGAGAGAAAGTCAATTTTTTACTTTCCTATCTATACTAGGTAAGGAAAGTATTGCGATCGGGTCAAATTTCCGATATGCTGTTTTCGACGGATCTATACGTTTCAGAGCCCTCTGAGAACGAAAAACACATTTGCAGCCATGTGTCTGCCTGTCTGTACCAAGATTTTCTTAGGACCTACTGAACCGATTTTGTTGCTTCTTTTTTTTTTTATTTTGTAGGGTTTTGAATACTGATGCCTGTGACACAAATTGGATGCTCCATGTGTAATAGCTGCTGCGCAATGAATGCAAAACTGAATGTTTTTCTATAGACTGTAGCGCAAAAACGGTACTAACGATTCTGATGAAACGTTCCTATAATGTTCTAATAATTATCCTATCAATTTTCGTACATGAACTAAATACCCGAAAATAAAAGTTATAATGAAAAGAAAAATGTTTTGGTGAATAACTCGCAAAGTATATATTCTATAGTAAAATTTAAAACTTTAAATGCCGTTTAACCTGTTTTTTTTTTTAAAGGTAGCTTAATTCCCTACAAAATTATATAAAAATCGTTCATTTCGGACAATTATTAACGAAGTTACAGCTATTCAATTTCCAATGTAAGATTACGGGTACATATCCTGGTGTCAGAAAGGGATGAATGAGAGAAAAAAGATAACTGAGTGAAAGTAAGAAAATCTGTTGCCCGCATCACACAAGCTTCACTATTTCCTCTATTTCTAACAGAAGTTATTGTTTGACGAAATTAAGCTGTGGCCATCTCAGCAATATTAGAGGGTATAGAAATTTTTGAAAACACTGATCTACCTTAAGCCGGTTTACATTGCTTTAGTTTATCAAATAGATTTTTTTTTTTAAACTTTTATTATGATATTTACAACTGTATTAGTATGAATACATTAAGTAAATGTGTACAGAGGAATATTATCACATGAAACGCGCTTGTTGAGAAACTACCCATTGGTAGCACTCTAATAATTTGTCTACATGAGAAGATCACGAGGCCATCTTCTTTTCAGACGCCTCGGAGGGTTATCAGGAATCGAAGAGGAAGCAAGGCTAGAAACAAGAGGATTCGGATGGTTATGAAGTTTATTATGGAAGGATAGGTATCTGGATTTGGCCAAATCGGAAATCAAATAGATTTAAATTCATTTTTTGTTGGTTCTTAATGGACATATTCAAAGATATAAAAACTTTTTTGAAATAAGTAGGAAAGTCGTGTGAGTGGACACACCAGATTTTTGCTTTATACGTTTAACTCAAACTTTGTCTGATGATTTTATTTAAGATTGTTCAAATTAAATCATGAAAATATTAGAATTGGTTAAATTTTTTAACAATGACAAAAGTCCGTCTTTCATATGAGGCAACTTATATATAAAATTAGGTTCGTCAAAGAGGTTGTTATTAGCTTTTGTAAGTCGAAAGATCTGATAAAAAATACCTCTCTAGACAAACAACAAGTAAAGGATAGGATAGCCCATTTGGTGGTGGTCCATTTAGTAAGCATGACCGATCCTCTCATTACGAAATTCGGAGGAAATGATTCTTGAGTTGTTTGAAATGGCACGCAGTGGGCTGTCCAAGTCTATCTAGCGGGACAAATGGCAAAATATCGATAGTGAATTTTTTAATGAAAAATGGCATTAAAAGTTTGTTTGTACATCGGTGTTATTAGAAACAGAAGAATTTGTCGAAAAAAATACAAATAATATAGGTAAAATTGATGGCAAACATAAAAAATTGAGAGCTAATATTCTTGATAACGGGTACTGGTTTCATTGTCAGAGTGAGCAATAAATAATTTGTTGCACCTTTCCGTTAATATTTTCTCCCAAAATTTTAGTTTAATGCATAGAAATAAGCCTTCTATAAATGTTAGAACTGAAATCATAAAAAGTTTCGGTTGAGTTATAAGTAATTCATTTTAAAAAGCTCTAACTTTACCGAAACCCTTGGGAATCTCGTGATATATAGGGTGTTTCGTAATTTCCACGGCACTATTTTAGGTATGTGTTCACTAACACAAAATAAACAGAAAAGTTCATATTAACATATATCTCAAACTCATTTATTGAACAGATATCAAAGGTTAAAGATTTATTATTTATTTTCTACATTAAGACTGACTGTACAAAGCTTAATGTGTTTTGTACTGAATAACAGGTTTTAATCATCTGACAAACAAATGAACGATAAGCAATGACAGTAGTTGCTCCTCTGTTTATGGTGTCTCCCATGATAATCATGAACTGTCATTGCTCATCGTTCATTTGTTTATCAGGCAATTAAAACCTGTTATTTAGTATTAAACACGTTAAACTTTGTACAGCCAACTTAATGTAATAAATAAATAAAAAATCTTTAACGTTTGATATCTGTTTAATCAGTGAGTTCACATTATAATATATCTTAAACTCATTGATTAAACAGATATCGAACGTTTAAGATTTATTATTTATTTATTACGTTAAGACTGGCTGTACAAAGTTTAACGTGTTTAATACTAAATAACAGGTTTTAATTGCCTGATAAACAAATGAACGATGAGCAATGACAGTTCATGATTATCATGGGAGACACCATAAACAGAGGAGCAACTACATTCATTGCTTATCGTTCTTTTGTTTGTCAGATGATTAAAACCTGTTATTCAGTACAAAACACATTAAACTTTGTACAGTCAGTCTTAATGTAGTAAATAAATAATAAATCTTTAACCTTTGATATCTGTTCAATAAATGAGTTTGAGATATATGTTAATGTGAACTTTTTTGTTTATTTTGTGTTATTCTACGCAATTGCAAATGTATAACTTATAACTCTACCGAAACGTTTTATGAATTCAGTTCTAACATTTAAAGAAGGCTTATTTAAATACATTACACTAAAATATTAGGGGGAAATCTTAACGGAAAGGTGCAAAAAATTATTTATTGCTCAGTCTGATAATGAAACCAGTACATGTTATCAATAACACTGACTCTCAATTTTCGATGTATTTTACCTATATTATTTCTATTTTTTTTTACTAATCCTTCTGTTTGTAATCACACCGATGTATAAACAAACTTTTAATGCCGTTTTTTATTAAAAAAAATCACTATCGAAATTTTGACTTTTGCCCCGCTAGATAGACTGCGACAGCCCACTGTGTGCAAGTTCAAACAACTCAAGATCCATTTCCTCCAAATTTCGTAATGAGAGGATCGGCTTTGCTTACCAAATGGGCTGTCCTATCCTTTACTATATGTAGAGAGGTATTTTTTTTTCTTCAGATCTTAGATCTTTCGACTTACAAAAGTAAATAATAACCTCATTGATTAACCTAATTTTATATACTAGCAGGCCCGTGCGAAAAATTCGCACAGCATATTATCATATGATCAAATGCCAAATTAATAAGAAAGTAAAATAATGCAACGGATCATAAGATAAACAAATGAATTGTTACTTTATCGATAAATATAATTGACAAAGGAAACAAAAATTAATTTAAAACTTCATTAATGCTTGGAACTGACATGTTTACAAATTTCAATAAGCTGTATCTTTGCTAAAAATTGTCCCATTTCATTAATTTTTTTCCTTTTGTAGGGAATTTAGTAATTTTTTATATAATTAGGTGCATGAGCGAGGGAAAAATGTGTATTTTTTTTAGTTATTAGCAAATAAAGATTCTTTTCTTTCATAACTTGTTTGCCTGAATTCAAAATTGGTGGCTTATTCTTGGGATTGGGTTAAGAATTAACGATGATATGGCTTGCCGATCAAAAACTCCATCGATAAATAATATACTCCTCCTCTCTCGATCATAGGGGCCTTAAGCGGACGAAACGAGACATGTATTCAATTACAGCACTACAATTAACGTAAGGTTGTGTTGGTGTGAACCCTATACCTTGCGTTATCTCGAAAATAGTACGTTTTTGGGCTTAAAAACGCAGGGCCCGAAGTACCGAAGGGGTCTTGCTTGACGCATCAAAAATCTTCAAAGCCCAATTTGTCCCGCATCGATCTACAGACTTACCACAGTTCCAGTTTTGAAGCCTAGAAAAATGTTTGTATCGACTTTATTTATTTTAGAAAGAAAAATAAAAGTGGAGAATACGATTCGCTAACCCCGTGAAATTCTTAATCCAACGGTACCCCATTCATGGTATTTGAGTATGACGGGAGCTTATATTTGGTACAAAACCGATTTCGAGCCTTACTGTAATAATATATGTGGGGATGGGGATGGGGATAAGTGGCCTCATATCAAAGACAGACATTTGTCATTGTTAAAAAGCTTAACCAATTCTAATATTTTTTTTTTCATTTTTTAACTTGAACAATCTTAAATAAAATCATCAGACAAAGTTTGAGTAGAAAGCAAGTATAAAGCAAAAATCGACTTTCTCTCCACTTTCTGATGTCCATCTTTGATATGAGGCCACTCATATTTTTTAATACGATTATTCAATGTTTACATTTCAAGTTGTTCGTAATTGACGATAATAAAATTTTAACACTGGAATTTGTTGTTAATTTATATAACAGTAGCTTCCTCGAGACCTCTGCGAATGTTTTATAAGTCTTTCAGTTACTTCCATGAAGCTGAAGTGAAGTCCTCGATCTCACATCAATTCCTTGGAACATAGCCAACACTAAAAACAACAAATGAACTTTACTTTCGATCATCATAAATATAAAAAAGAAATAAAAATGCGTTGATGCTTTAATTTATATATTTTTTAATTAACAAACATCCATGCTACAATTTATATTATATAAAATTGTTATAATCTACTAATAGTCTTTTAGTTTCCTTATCTTAAAATAAATGAAATAATGATTGTATAGTGAAATATATGTTTGATGGAGTGTACAAGGTACTCCTAGTATACAAGGGATTTTAAATATCTATTTTTCTAAATTTATGATTTTAACAAGATGCATAAGTTTGACATTTTTATCTATGTATACATTTTAGGACAACAATGGGACAATAGAAAATGAAGAGTTGAGAGGATTTCTTAAAGATCTACTTGAACTTGTCAAGAAGGTAAGTATATATAAGGTTAAGGGTTAAGTATATCATTTAAGTGTAATTATCTTTTCTTAGATTCTCCAACGATTATTTATTACTCAGAAAAGTAGACAAATAATTCAATCGACATTTAGGACATTTTTTTTTTTCATATATATTAAATATTTAAGAATTCAGTTGATTTCGCCAAATAGTCTATCTAAAAAAATTTTTTTTTGACCTTAGCTACTGAAACAAAAACAAATTAGAATCATGCCATGCATTTAAGATATATTTTATCGAAATCCAATCACTATTTATTTTTTAATTAAGATCAATTTTTTACGTACTTTTTTTTAAGTAAATAAATAAATAAAAGTTAAACTTTTACCATAAACCTAGAATTTTATTACAAACACGTTCAATTTTAACTTTAAAACATTTTTTTTCCTTTTAAGTCCTCCACTGTTTTTAAGTGCTTTTAAAATTTATTTTGGGACCTTAAGGAAACATTTGTGTTTGTATATTTCTGAACTGTTCCTTAATGAAGAATAGCCTAATTAATTTGTTCTACAGCCTAATTGTAATTTTTAATTTGCATAGATTTTATTTTGGGTCTTTTTTACTTCGTTACCGTAGGTCACTTTTCTGAAAAAACATATCATTTCTTTGTCACCGTTTACACGTTGTCACGTTTAATAACTACCGTTACGTAATTAAATAACCTCATTTTCAAATAAATAAATAAATAGGTACATTGATTTTCACCAATAACAAATAAAACTTTTAACATTGAATGTATTTATTTGAAATTAATATAAGCAATAAAAGATGAAGAACGCCCAGAGAATAATCGAAATTTAGTATTTTCTACTTGCGCAGGCGTATTGACCTGAACAACACGAGTGTGAGTCACTCCGGCATACCTGTACAGTTTTTAGGTTAATTAGAACAATTTTTAATCAAGTAAAGTGATCGTGTCCTCATCGTGCTGCTCACCATTTCTCGACTGAATTAAAAATCTTACAGTTATATGTAAATAAGTTTGAATGTGTTTTTATTTATTATTATTTTTATTTATTTTAGTTTTTATTTAATGTTGTATCATGTTTGATTTATTCTGTTATTCCAAGTTTTATTTTATTTTATTTTGTTATAAAATAAAATAAACAAGCTTTCGGGCTGAAACCCCCCCCCCCCCCAAAATGGTATAATATAACCATATTTTATGGAAAAAAATATTAAAAAATTATGTCTTAAAGTGTTGTTGTTGCTCGTGTAATTACATTAAAAAGGACTTAAGGAATCACTTAAACACCATTTCATGTAGGTAGTTAGTTTCTTTCTTTTTTTCCAAAGTAATTATCGTCATTTTTATGAAAAAAAAGCTTTCGGGCTGAAGCCCCCCCCCCCAAAATTAAATCCTGGCATATCTTTTTCGGTTTATCTATGCAGATTTACCTGAGAGGTATACCGGAACGTTTGCGCTCGGCCTAACAGTTAAAAACAATTTAAACCAAAATGATATGTTGTTATTGAAAAGTGATTTGCGGTAGCGAAGTAAAACAGACCCTTTATTTTTTCACCGTTTTACTAAAATAGGACTAATTATCTGTCAATTAATAGGATTACGACGCTCAAGACCTGGAGGAATTCGAGGACACACTGCTAAGAGGAGTTGAGCGGGACCGCGGTGGTAAGATCAACAAGAAGGAGCTGACCATGATCCTCCTTGCATTGGCCAAGAAGAGCAACGAAGAACCTTAGATTGTCTCAACTGTCTTTTTCAATAATTTATCCTAGCCAATTATTTTATCTGATAAAAATTAAGATGTTTTACACACAAATTTCATTTGACTAAGATAAAATTTTAATTTTTTCAACAATGGACTGAAGTATCTGTAGATTTTAATAAGATTACAACTTATACCTATTAATGGTTGAGTCCTCCCCCTTTGTGTGATAAAAGTGAGAATGGAACCGAAATGGCCAATGCTAAAATAGTAATTTTTTATATGTTATTCAATGTTACCCATATGGTGAGAGTGATATAATAAAATGACTGCGACAATTTCAAATATTTAGTAGGCGCTACAACATTGACACAATAGGCGTTTGTATAGATGTTATTATGTGATAAATGTATTACTGCTTCTATTATGATTTCGTTGGATATACACGGATTCATTTGAATGTAATACTTAATGATTAATTCCTAGTTTTATTAATCTATGAAGTTTATATGGATACAAGGAAAGATACATGAATCCGTATCAGTATTATTGAATTGTAAAAAGTTTGAATTTAAAGCGTTTATAAGTCCCTCACACATATTGATTGTTGTTTTTTCAAATTTTTATTTTTTTATTGTATCGATTCTATAGTAGGAATGGTTATCTTCTATCTTCGAGAAGAATTCCAGTATTAATTCTTCACTAATTTACCTAGTTATAGTCCTTAAGAAAATTCTAGAAGTTGAGGGATATCATACGATCCTTCCTATTTTATAAATTTATAAGGTATCAATTTTCTGTTGCAATAACTTTTATTCGCCACTATTCTTGCTCAAGGGAGTAGGTAGGATTTTCCTCCTCACCCCCTCCTCTCCGGAATCTCTCAAGCCCTCAGAATTTTTTTTAAAAGGAATCATTAACGAAAAGTCCCAAACACAATACAAACGAAAACTTAATTGTAATCATTTTTCCAACAAGATGACGAAATAATAATAGCCAGTAAAAAATTTTAAAGAAAATTAAATACTCTTGATAATTGATTGATGGTTGACAGCAGTAAATAATTTAAGAGAAGTTGTTTGGGGTTTTCAGTCAAAATATAAAGTAAAAAAAAATAAATAATATTTATTTTTATTTCCTTTGTACCGACGTTTCGGCCTAAATTCAAGCCTTCACCAGGGCTAATCAAAGACAAGATAACATATGATATAGATATTGAGAAATGTTATATAAAAATAGATGTATCGTTTGAATATATATTTTTATATACCATGTCTCAATATTTATATTATATGTTATTTTGTCTTTGATGAAGGCTTGAATTTAGGTCGAAACGTCGGCGCAAAATAAATATAATTTCTTTATTTTTACTTTGTATTTTGATTGAAAAATCTAATCAACTGCTCTTCAAAAATAAATATTGTTCAATATTTTAAAATATATAAACTCCGAGGTCATATTTTATTTATCAATGCAATAAAATCTTTGATTTCCTTCTCTTTAGTGTTGCCCAAAATCGATGGTAAAAATGGTAAAAAAATCGATTTTTAAAATAAAAATTAAGGCAAAACAGTTACTAATACTTGACAATTTTAGTTACTATATATTAATCATTGGTATGACCAATATACTTTTTCACATAACTCCTCTAATTTTTCATTCGGGCTTAGTTAGGTTTCTCCTATCTAAAAAATTACAGTAATATCTCTATAGTAATAAGCTAATAAGTAACTGCAAGACTGTTGCGAGACTCTTGCGCAAGACCAAGATCATGCGCAAGACCATGACCATGACCAAGACTGAGTTTGCAAGACCAAGACTCTTCTCAGTCCCGCATTTGGGCAACGCTACTTCTTATTTATTTATTACTTACCATCGAGAAACAAGTAAGAATAGTTTTGTACAATGGGACTGACCTCTTATGTCTAAATATGTTTTTATGCATCAAGGAAAAGCTAAAAACTATCATTGGCTAGACTTCAGGAGGGGGAAGGGGGCGGGCGATTGTCTTCCCTCTCCCTAAGAATAGAGAAGGGGCTAGAATATCGTTTCACCCCTCCCCCCAATATTTCTAAGAAAGAAAATAAAATCAATAACAATTAATCTACATGAACGAATAAAATATTTAAACTAAAACCAATTAAGAAAATATCAAAAGTCGACTAGATGTTTATAAGGCCTAGAAGTCAAGTAGCTACGCAGATATTTTACCACACCATATGGTCCTGTTATTGAAATTTTAGTTTATATTCAAAGATAATTATATGTTGCAAGAAATCCTAGAATTTATGATTCATTTATGTACAACCTTCCGTCTTTACGTGAAGGTTTTATCTCATTTCCAGAATCAAATTTAAAGCATCGGAGTGTTAGGAGTTCATCTCACTGCCTCAGAAATAATAAATACAAATATGTAATGTATCCAATTGATTTGGTTACATATTATCAAATATACCCATATGAAATTTTTTTTAATATATATAGCATAATATTGTTTCTTTTATAATAATTAAGTTGATTATATTAATTATCACTCATAATTTTTCTACACAGTATAAACTCCCGGGACTTTTTCTGGATGGAGGTCTACTCCCACCCACCAAAGAGATGGAAAAACTGCGCCTAACCATTATGATTTATTTAATATGTTTCAAAACTAAAAAAAAATATTTGTATTATTTTTTTGGGAAGGAAGGTCATTCGCTAACCATCAAAAGGGCTTATTACTTAGTTGCAGCTTATGACAATCTTAATCATCTAGTATAAGCTGATATCTCTCAACTTCAATTCGTAGTTTAATAAACATATCCTGTTAAATCAATAAGAGATGGAGAAATTCAATGATTACGAGGCGCAAGCATTTTTAAAAGAATGATGACATGTGTAAGTAATTACATGATATACTCAAAACACCATTAAATGCTCATATACTTAAAATAAAATATAGAAACTTAAATAAACTTTTTTTAAATGGTAAACTAAGTTATGTGTAATTGTCACAACGCTGCAGAGTAACTGTTACAGTACATAATCAAAATCTTATGGATATTTATATAAATCTTTTATTAAATACTTGTTCAAAGGCTTAGGTGCTAAATACAAAATGTTATTGTAAAAATAATGCTGTTTTATTTATTTCCTACTACTCACAAAAAAAAAAATAATACCACCATATTTATATTTAATTTTGTGCGGTGCATTGGTTCTGCACAAGGACGTCATGTAAATGTGTATTTAGACATTTCACAAAGTATGGGAAAAACAAATATCTACCTAAATGGTTGATTCCCTGTACTTGTGTAGGTATTTCTTCTTGTTGTTGACGTTTTCCATCTGCTGTCATTAACAACAGAAATAGATTAAAAGTTTGGCTTAGCGCTAAAGGTATTGCTAATTAAATTAGACAATTGTACTTACCGTAGTTTGTGAAATGACTTAATGAACTTTTAGGTTCACTAATGCTTCCGTCGATGTGATGAATTTTCTCCACAAGGACGTCGTGGAAAAGTGTATTTAGACATTTCACAAAGTATGGGAAAAACAAATATCTACCTAAATGATTGATTCCCCATACTTGTGTAGGTATTTGTTTTTAACGTTTTCCATCAGCTATCAATAACAAGAGAAATAGAATAAAAGTTTGGATTAGCGCTAACGGTGTTGCTAATTAGATAGTTGTATTTCCCGTAGTTCGTGAAATGACTAAATGAACTTTTAGGTTCACTAATGCTAATGTCGATGTGATAAATTTTCATTTTGCTTCGGAAATGAGCCAGTTTAAATACATATGGAGGGTAAGTAGATGGTACCCATATTCAACTGACAATAAATTGTTTGTTTCAAGCATCTATTATTTAAAAATAAATAAATTATATATATATATATAATATATATATATATATATATATATATATATATATATATATATATATATATATATATACACACACAGAGTGTCCCTTAAGTAGAGGGAAATTTTGATAAGCGTAATAGCAGACCACAATACCAACAAAACAGGTCATATTAACAATGAACCAATTTTCAGCAGAATAGTAGGAGATCCAAGTTTTAAGTTTTTTTTTTTTTTAAGAGTTAATATAAAAATGGAACGTCATGCTTTTTGTTGAACAGGAAGTGATAACTAAAGAAATATTTGATTTAATTATCATCATCCAGCTATACTAGAGTTGCCCAATTTTCAGAAAAACTTCCACCTTTCATAAGATTTAAGTCTATATTAATAAAATTGAGGTTTATAAGCGAAAACTTGAGATTCACCTCATGCTGTGTAAAGAAATGATGTGATTTTCTATCCAGACTCCACCAGTGTTTTCAGCAAAAATGGTTCCAATTAACTGTTGCAAAGCTTTTATTTATTGTTTTTCCATGATCTGGGATCTATTTTAATAAAAATAATTGCCTAAAAATATATATTTCATTTATAAAAATAGTAACATTAAAAATCACGACTTTTTAAATATTTATCATATAACGTGGTTATGCAATTGTGTTTTTCTCCCAGATTTCCGCTATAGTAATTTATCCGCAATTATCAGAAACAGACATAATGTTTCTAGTCCTTAAATTGAAGTTTAAAATAAAGCAACCTACTGATTGCTTCAATTATTTTCATGGAAACGTAAATATTAGGGATAGGAACATCAAGGTTGTCACTTATAAATACGGATCTACTCCTATGACAGAGTTCTGGAAGAAAAACACAATTGTAATTGTGTTATGTTATGTATGTATATATAACAACCTTAGATAAAAAATATTTAACAGATCGTTATTTTAAATTCTATCATTTTTATAAATATATATATTTATATATATATATATATATATATATATATATATATATTTCCGGTTGGCGCTACAGACCTTTAAAGATCTTTGACCACGAGATATGGTCTTCTAGACCACATCCCGATTCCTGATTAAAGTACACGGGGGTAGGGTCATCAGTCCTATGCCCGGTCTGTGTGAGTTGCCTCCAGTAGTTTGACGGGCCACACATACCCGGGGGGGAGGAGGTTCGGGGAGCGTGGCTTTCTCTGGCGGACGGTCACCCAAATCAGGTGGTGTCCCATCCAAGAGGTAACCACGCTCGGCGTTGCTTAACTTGGTTACCTATTACAAGCGCCTTAGCCCGCACAGCTAACCCAGCCCTTATATTATATACATATAATAAATAAGGTGAATAAGGTGAAAAATGTTTGAAAGGATTTGGAGTAGGCTAATTGGTCTATAGGATAATGTATTATTGGAAGATTTGTCTGGTTTCATGAAAAGAACGATGGTGGAATGATTCCACAAGGGAGAGAAGAGGGTAGTTCTTAGGATGCAATTATAAATATATATCAGGAATATGATAGTTTTGGGAAAAATAAAAGTTGTCGTCGTTAAATGATATTCCAGGAGTAAAGAAGGAAGAGGTTGATGGAGGAATGCAGGAGGAAGCTGATATAAAATATGAATTTAAATCATCAGGTTTGACTGGAAAGACTGCTGAGGAAGGTGATCTGGAAGAGTCACAGAGGGAGAGTTTACGAAGGAGTTGCCATTTGGTTTTGGAATCAGGAGCTGCTGAAAGGGCTTCGTGGAAATAGGAGGATTTGGCTCTTCGGATTTTGGTTTGTGTCAGGTTACGGAGCACCCTAAACGCTTGGTAGTCGTCAGCGAGCCTAGTGCGTCTAAAGCGTCTGCGGGCTGCATCGCGTCTCTTCTGAAGATCTTTAATTTGCTGACACATCCAGGGAGCCGGGGGGCGACGAAAGGTAGAGCTTTTGATGGGAGCATGGGAATCAAGGATATTAAGGAGGTTGGAAGTTAAAATATCAACCATAGAGTCAATACATGAACAGGAATATATTCCATTCCAATCAAGGGTTTCCAGGTAGGGTAAGATTTTTTCACGAGTGAGGACATCAATATTACGGAAAGTTATGGTTCTAGGTAGGATCGGAGGAGTATGGATATTATATGAAATTTGAATTAGGTCATGAGAGGATAAAAAGGAGACCGGTACTTGTGAGGAGGAAAGGAGGTTCTGAGCGGAGTCGATAATGTAATGGTCCAACCAGGTATCGGACCTGGGGGTGTGATGAGTGGGCGAAAAAGGAACAATGAAAAGATGAAGAGAGAAAAAAAGGTTTTCGAGGTATGATTTATCGCTGGAATCGGAAAGGAAATTAGTGTTTAGGTCTCCGGAGATGATTATTTTGGTATAAAGAGGAACAAAGTTGAAGAGGGATGATTCAAATGATGGATCAAAGGGAACAAGAGGAGGTCTATACACTACGACATAAAGGATAGGAGATGTATCAAAGGAAATTTCAGCGATTAGGAACTCTACATGTGGGTGATCGGATGGAGGAGAGCAGTGGAGTATTCGGGTCTTCATGCATTCGTGAACATACAACGCTACACCTCCGCCAGTCCGGCTCTTCCGGTCGTGGCGGATTAGTGTGTAGTTAGGAAGGGAAACAGATGAGGAAGGGATGTAAGGCTTGAGCCAGGTTTCGGAAATTGCAATGATATGGTAAAAATTATGGGTAAAGTATTCAAGGAATTCATCATAGTGGGCTGGGAGGGATTGGGAGTTGACGTGACATGTATTAAGGATGCTAGACATGATTAGGCTTGAGGAAAATAAAGTCAGAATTTGGTGAGCAGACTCTGGACCGGATGTGATACATTAGATGAAATAATGTAAAAATAAAAATATAAGAAAAAAACCCATTAAAAAGAAAAAAAATTTGAATGCAATAATCAATAGAAATAAATTAATCAAAAATTTCCGGTAGTAACATAACATACATTTCAGATTTTCAGTGTGAGTCCTGTAAACTAAGCCAAATTGTTTATCGATGTTGAGGAGTAAACAGGGATCGAAGAGTCAGCCGAAGACGTCTAGGTCTTGACTCTGGTCGATAAAGACAACCTGATGACCGTCATCCTTTCGACACCGCAGTCTGCCGCCGGAGAACCATATATATTTTATTTTCCCTGCTGATTTCTTCTGCCGAGCGAGCCAGTAAAGGTACCTTTTCGTCGGGGTCATTTCCTCGCTGAGATAAATACGGTGGCAGTCATTTTACTGCCAACCGATTTCCCGCGTCGAGAAGTCCCTTTTTACTTTTCGCTTCTGCACCAGGTCGTCTCTCGCTGACTGCCTGACGAATTTCGCGATGATAGGCGGTGGTCGAGGGTCATGTTTTCTTGCTCTTCGGCGCTGCACAGTGTCTATATCTTCGACATTGAGTGTAATGCTCAGACCGGCCCCAATACTTGTAACCAGGGCTGCGGGGGTCTCACCTGCTCGAACCGGGATTCCCCGTATCTCGAGCGATCTACTAAGCAAGCCCTGTTCGGCTTTATTCAGCCTGACCTCCAGTTCACCGACTTTAGATTTGAGGGCTTTATTTTCTGAAATTATTTCTTCAAGCTTCTTAGATTGTCCCTCTAAGTGGTTTTCAATTTTAGATAGCCTAGTGTTTACTTCGAATCTCAGATCTCCGTACTTGTCTAGCGCTATTTTAATATTTTTTAATTCCTGGTTGAAAAAAATATCTAGCCGCTTTACTGCTGCCAGAATTTCTGATGGTGTAGGCTCAGTGTTGTGACTTTGATCTGGGTTTTCACCACCTGGTGGAATCTTTTTAGGCTGATCGCAACTAGCGCAAATCCATCCTTTTTTTGAGGATTTTTGAGCTTCAAACTCTTTATCACTGAGTTTACCGCACCTGCTGTGAAATAATAGTTTGCATTTAGCACAACATAAAATATTTTTCTCTTCTCGGCTGATGGTGCTGCTGCATAGCGGGCATTGTGCCATATTGTTATTTAGTAAATAGATCGTACTTACAATAACAAGCCGGGTTGTTATGATTCGTAATAGCAACAGCAGCGCTTAATCTTCTAGAGCTTAGTTGTTTACCACTGTCCCGTAGCTCTCAATAATATAAAAACTTCGATACTTTCACTTTTCGATGAGTAGAGAGGAAATATGAAATGTCTATAATTTCAATTAATAAAAAATATTAAAAAGAAAAAAAAAACGGCAGAAATCAAAGAAATTTTAACGAAATAGGATACTTAATAATACAGAGATATGTT